CAGGCCTCATAGATTTGCTCTGCTTGCTTGTGTGATGAGGAATCACATTTAATCCAAGATGATTCATGGAACACAGTGTGGTGATGTGTTCAGGTAACCTCACCTGATCCCTAATGGGACAATTTGTCTCCACTACACAGTTGTTATTTTTTGACCACTGGGCAACATTTCAAGTGCAATGTTGTGGGGATAATAATGTTTCTGTGATGAAGTGATTTTAAGGTAAGAATCTAATTTTCGCTCCAGTCAGAGCCTGAGGGTCAGCAACAAGAAGGAGGTTTTTTGTTGCTGTTTTTTGCACAAAGACCCATCAGTCCCGTGGAGTCTGGCCAAAACGCTGACAGGACAATTTCCCCGAGCTGGTGGCCATCTAACACAAGTACAAACGTTTTACATTATAATCTACATCTTTTTATGTTTTCTGTAGTTTGTGGTTGATATAGTTTGCTTTCTTTTCTGAAGTAACTCTTGAACAACATGAGAGCCTTTTAGTGATTGGTATTTCACATACTCGTCAACTCGTCAATGGCAGTTCGTTTACTATGTTTAGTTTTACAGCACATTTTAACCGTAAGGAGATTCAAATTCCTATAGTTTCCTTTTTCAGTGAGGAACCAGCAAAACCTACTTAAAAAACTTTCACAAAGTCACCATCTTCATTTCTACCTGAAAACAATTGTCCTTAATCTGGCAAGAGTGGTTTTAGGACTTAATATACCCAGTCTACACCTTTGACATTCAAGACACATTATTACTTTTTGGAATCATTCAAAATCAAGTGTGTTCAGCCCTCACCATCAAACAGGACAAAGTGCTCAGTCTCTGTATAGGTCTCTGTCTACGCATTTAAAATGGTTTCTTTAATAATTCATGGAGGCCTCTTCCAGGAAGCAACGCTATCTTTCCACATGCTGGATCGATGTAGATCAAAAGACAGTGTTTGGTCCTAAATGCAATCCTATCCTGAAGTTCTACCAGCAGGGCTAGTGTAGGACCAAGAGCTGTGGCTATAGCTGGCTGCTGAAGTCTATTGAATGGTTACCAAAGAGATTTTGGTTAGAAATTATTGATTCAGACAAAAATCACCCAAAACATTTTGAACGAGACTCCTATTTATGCTTTAACTGTGATGTACAGCTCACAGTTTACTTCCCAGTGAACCTGACATTAAATATCTGCAAGAACAAAAAGAACAAAGCTTTAATTCAAGATTCAAATTTTCTTTTGCATTTGCAAGGAAGTATTTGTTGGGCCATTGGTTTTGATTTTGATCCCTTCTTTCATTAGTCTTTGTAGATACTTTATATGTGTTTACTGCTGTGACAAAGTGAAAATCTTATTTATTGCTCCATTAAGGTTCATTTGAGTTTGGCACATTGTGGCAAGATTATGTCTACAAGAGACAGTTCAGCCATATGCACAAAACGCCTTTTTCAAGTTTGAGAATAATTCTACTTTTGACCTGATCTCATTTTGAATTGTCACTTTGTTTTACACTTGGATCTTATATTTATGTCTATTTCTGTGCAAAGTTAGTGTGTATGTGTGTGCATGTGTGTGCGTGTCTGCGTTGACACCACAGAGACACCTGTTCCAGTCTGCCATTCAGCAGTGATGGGGACGGCGCAGGGCTTTGACACGCTCTGTAGACAAGACAGCTCAGACAGCATGGATGTTAATCTCTTCTAACTGCTCCCAGCCTAATTAAATCTTCCACGCACGCACACACACACACACGTGCGCACATGTGGAGGCTTCTAAATTGGTCCTTCTTACGTGTGAGTGTGAGTTTTAACGATCCGGAGAATTGGCCCTACAGCGTTTGCTTGATTTTAATTCAGTTAAATTGTATATCTGTGTGTGTGTGTGTGTGTGTGTGTGTGTGTGTGTGTGTGTGTGTGCGTGCGTGTGCATGCACATGTGATTGTGTGAGAGAGAGAGAGAGAGCATGAGAGACACAGTATTACACAAACACAAAGAATTTGACTCCTGTCGTCCTCTGTCTGTTTGTAGATGCAGTGCTAACTGAGAAACTCATGTACAACAATTGTTCTGATCACTTCCTGTGGTGTTAACATGTCTGTCTCTCTAACATGATTGTGTTGTGTTGCATGTAGGTCATCTACACTCATGACACTCTTCAAGTACTGCAGATGGAAAGCTTATCTAAATTCTGTTGCTCTTTGATGGCTAAGAGTATTTAATTTACTGAAATGGAAATAACAAAATCGATCATCTTAACCAGTTGGTTCATTCAAACACCAGGGTAAAATGAGGTTTGTGTTGTGCCATGCATGTCCTTCAACCTGACAAAAGTGGCACATTGGTGTATGGAGCTCATACAATGTTCTCACAAATGACTCACAAAAGTCGATGTTGAACAACTGCCACATTTATATCCTCCATATTTATCAGTAACATTAATGTCAAGGTGAATGTTTCTTAATAAGGAAAAAAAAATCCACATTTAAATTGACTGGATATGGACATTCATTTGAATCTGCAACAAATCACACTCACTCATAACTAATCCCAAAACATACGGACAGGGGGGGAAAATAACCATCTGCCCCAACATTAAAAAAAGGTATCTGTTTTAATTGATTACTGTTATATTCCAGTAAATAGTACTATAATACTATAGAAAGCATGAGGGTTTAGTTTAGAAGGTAAGAAACTCCTGCAGTAAACAGAAACCTAATGAATCTGTTACTATCAGATAGCTCAAACCACTGAAAGAAAAAAACAATATCAAATTGGTAACACACACGCACACACACACGTCCTGTACACGCACATAATGATTCTGTCAGTGTTCCAGGATTTCCCTATGTTCCTTTTAAGCTTATGAAAGTTCTTTGTACCACTGACTTTCTGATGTTATGTTTAATCACAAGATGTAGAGATTCTTTTTTAATCTGTTTAGCTTCAGTGAAGTCACAGAGAGACTCTGACAGGACATGTGCCTCCCTGCCTGCCTATCAGCCCACCCGCCTGTCTCCTCTACATCTGTCCACCCAGCCAGAGCCCATCTTACCTTCCTCTGCTACTACCTTCAGTAACTCTGTCCCTCCCATATTTATCTCCGTTGCACGACTATCATCCTGTCTCTTCATCCTCTTTGTGTCTATTCCTATGTCTTCTTTGCAACCACACCTTTTTTATTGCTTGATTCTCTCCCACCCTTCCATTGTGCATCATTCTCCCTACGATTCAATTTTCTTTTTCTTTTCTTCTTTTCCCCTGTGTCTCTGTCACCTGTCCAGTCTGGGCTACCTCTGAGTTAAACAGGCCGAACAAATAGATTACAACAGTGGGTAGAGTGAAGCTAAGGAGGAAGACAATCTGAATTTGTTGTGGATAACGAATGAGGAAGGAGGCTGTGCAGTCAAAGAAAGCCAGTGGAGTCAGAGTAAGGCTGTATTTGCCTGAGGGGAAAAGGCTGAAAAGTAGCTCTCGCAACAGATGTGCAGGGCAGTAAAGTGTAATTGAAATGCCAGCAGCAATGGTCTTATCTCCCTGCTACAGGAGCCTGCTGCCAGTCTCAACATCAGTTAGATGTCATTTTACCTAAGTCTGAATCAGCCTGCCACAATCCACAATCCCCATTCCTCTGATGCTAGGCGGGCGAGAAGGGGAGAAATGGATGAGGGGGAGGGAGACGAGAAAGAAAAGGAGGGAGAGGAGGGTGGTGAGTCTGTAATAGGATTTCAGTGGCACCCAGTTAACTTCCACCACCTGGACTTATTTGGTAATTTGATATGCCCCATCAATAGGATTCATTTACCTCAACGCAGTATTACCATCGCCATTCATTTGACTTTTTAAACTGTATATTTATTCATTTCTCTCTGCATATTTTCCTGCTTGTTCTGATCCTAATCATGGCTGCTGGAGGTGGCAGGAGGGAGGGAGGGAGGGAGGGAGGGGAGGGTTATTCCACACAACATATAAGCTAAGAAAGAAAGTCCTTGGTCCAGTGGAGGTGAAAAGCCAGACACCATCGCTCCAGGCAAAGCTTAATGTTTTGGGCCAGCTAGCATCCCTCTGGGAGGAACCATAATGTCCTCCCAGATTAGAGGCCGGCACTCCTCGGAGCTGCTGCCTCTTTATCAGGAACTTTGTTACTGCAACATGGGATCATCTGCAGGACATTAAAGCTGCCTTATCTCCCCACTGTCATGTTAATGTGCATGGATTTTGTGGGTTGTTGGTGATATCCATGGTGGCTGTGGCAACTTTTACCTTTGCCTGAGCTTCTTATGCATTTTGGGGGTTTGTTTGTTCCGACAACTTCCCGGTCACGTGGAAATGGTTTTAAAGAATGAGTCCATTTCTGGCCTTTTATTCATACACACACACACTCGCTAAGGTTTTTTGAGATATGATTCTTTGTCAGATTCAGTCTCAAACTACAAGAGCTCAGAGATATGCCTGCCAAGGCAAACGCCATATTATATCATGTTAAAAAGGTTCTATATCCACCTGTTTATCTGGATCTACTCCAAAATTCTATGGGTTCTTCCTTGGTCATGTCCCTCTCTACACAGTTTAATAGAAAGTAGTTTTTAGATAATCTTGTTAAATAACAAACAATTATTATGATGTATTTTTTTGCAGCAAATATTCACGTTTATCTAGGTTGTAACTTTCAGGATCAAATATTAACAGTGGCTCCTAGAAATCTTTGTTAACAGATTATGTTTTTTTAATGATTTTTGGCTTGAAAAACATATTTAATACCTTGTATTTCTTATAAAATGCATAAATACATGCAATATACCTTGCAGTCTTGTTCTCTACTGGCTTTGTTGGTGCAGGCTCTCATAATCACAGCTAACGGTGATAAGAGTGATATGATTTTACTGTGCTGCTTGTAAGTTTGTGTGCTGTACAGTGCAAACAAAAACATCCAGATCCACTCATAAAAACCTTGTGACCCAGTAGTGATCGAATGCTTTGTGAATTTAATGTGTCCCCTATGTTTTAAATTTTTTCAGAGAGTCATTTTCAATGTGGTCAACTTCTCCAAGACCAAGAGCCTGTACAGAGATGGCATGTCTCCTGTGGTGAAGTCAACCAGCAGGCCGAAATGGTAAGTAGACCAAACAATGAGCACATATTGTATGGGCTTTATTAGAATGTGAATGTTTTTTTACTTTACTTGTGGTACTTTAAAAGTTGAAAAACTTTTCTTCTCTGTCCGTCAGTAGACACACACACAGTCCCTGTCTTTCTCTCTCTCTCCCTCCTCACACACACACACACACACACACACACACACACACCCTCTAAAGACAGATACTTTATATTTCCTGAGTGGATGCGTCCGGGCACATTAGCATGTGATCCATTGGTTGCCAGTATGACGGCTGTCTGATGTAATAACGCTTGACTGATGGATGCAGAAACGTGCCTGCGTGTGCGTATGCATTTGTGTGGGAACGAGTAGGTGTGGCAGGAGGGAATTGGGCTGGTGCAGTGGGGGTGGGCACTGTGTCTGCCGAGCAGGCTGGTGTATCCAGTGGGTCGAGTCCGTCCAAGAGGAGCCCTGACATCTGTCATCAGTTGATGGAGGGCATCCGCAGAAACGCCCGGCATCTGCCACCCGGGCTGTGTGCGTCTGCTAGCCTAGCGCCAGCACCAACCATATCGTAGCATGCTGGTCGCAGGCTAATGAGAAGAGACAATGGGCATGACACCGTAGACAGGAAAGATGAACTGCAGCATGCAATACTGTGCAGTGCATCACTATGCAGCACAGCTCGGTTGCCTCACTCTCTCTATGTTAGTGTGGTGTATAGCTGCAACTATGTTCGTGGAGATACACATTTTTCTCAGAGCCACTTCTGTTGTTTCATCCTGCCAACAGTTTATTTACGGTGAAGCTGGCGAGTGCTTGCTTTAAAATCGATGTTAGGTGAGTGTTACGCTGTCAGTTAAGCTACTGTGTAGACAGAGCTACAACATAAACCAACATTATATCCCCGTTTCTATACATGTGGTTTGAAGCTGTGGTCATTTAACTGTCATTTTATGCCCAGTAATTTGTCCCAGATTATGAAAAATTCCACTTTCTGAATGGTTTTGACTTTCAGTGTATGAAGGGTTAATCTGTACAGGAGCCTTTTTGGGTCATTCAGGTCCCAAAGCTTTTCTTAATATGCTAATCATGCAACACTGGGCATGTTTATGTTTTACTAAGCTCTCATAAATAGGTATTTAAGTGACAGACACAATAGGAGGTAATGTCGCAGAGGCCCGACTCCATTTACCTCCCCAGGCTAGTACTGTTTTAACCGCTCCTCTCAGCACTGTGTCATTTAAGAGGCATTACGTCTCATGGACTTGTGTAGAGCCATTTCCAACTGTCTGGGGCTCCAAAGACCACAGCTGACACTGTTTGTGTCCCCACAAAGTGGTCAAGATGCTTTTAACACAACCACTTCTGTTTGACTTTCCGTGAGCACAACAAAGCACAGACAGCTCCTAAAGTAGCAATCTTCTTTTTGACAGTTACAGATATGGAATAAATAAAAAGGCAGAGCGTGGAGAGCTTCGCCTGTCTGATCCAAACTCACACAGGACAGGATAAAGAAGGTACAGAGAGAGAGAGAGAGTGATGGAAAGAGAGAGAGAGAGAATGAAAGAGAGAAAGAGAGAGAGAGGGAGGGAGATTTGAAGAGAAACAGACAGAGAGAGGGTGGAGGAAGAAAAACACAAAGTACAAGAAAGAGAGATTACTGAGACAGGTAGACAGGGAGGAGAGAATGAGAGAGTGAGCTGGAAAAGATTGCTCCCCCTCTCTCCCCACCGCCCTGCAGCCACCACCCCACGTCTGTATCTATCAAAAGAATCGTCAGTATTAGCTCAGGAGTTGAAGCCTTTATCTCCCCGTGCAGGTGCCTCATGTCCTGGGGTCCCAGCATCGTTTGGCGCTGGAGGCTGCTGGGCTTGGCTGGCCTTGGCTAAGCTGGACGTCTCAGTGAGAGACAACTGGCAGATTACAGTTCACTGCTACAGGTGGAGGGATCTATCCTCTCCTCCTTCCTCCATCCCTTTCTCTCACATCCCTCACTCTGTGACTCCCCCCTCCAGCCAGGAGACATCAGAGCTGACATAGATTTACTGTATAATTTGGCATTTAAACACAGCTAGACGTTATATATTTGATAAATAATGAATAATGGATCGACTAATTGAAAGGGATTGCATTACTTTTTGAAATGTGAGACATACTGATGGCTGTGTCAGTGATCAGACTACTAAAACAAAGAATATTTTATTAGATTCTATCCACTGTATAGAAATTGGAGCTTTGTTCATTTTTGGCACCAACAGAGGAATAGCAGAACAACAGTATCTTATTTTATGGACTAAACAGCTGATTAACAGCCACTTCTATCTGCGCAGTGAAGAAGCTGGTGAATAAAATACAAGTAAACCGGTCTCCTTTTGCAAATGTTCGTGTCAAATTCATTAATCACTGACTGAAATCTATGGAATTAAACTGCCCCTTGTGATTGGTAATTGACTTAAAGTACAAGGAGGAGAAAAAGGGTTATGAAATTGAGAACAGTCAAAGAGTTTCTGAGACCGAGGAAAGAGCGTGAACATTTAGTTTTTTTCTAAGAGTCTGTCGAAGACAACAGCCCCCTCGGTGACACTAGGTGCCAACCACACTCCCTGCAGTCTGCTTGTTGTTAGACTGCTAGAGCAAAGAATTGCCCAGCATCCTTATTTTCTGAGATAAGCTAATTAGAAACTCAGGGAGCGTGGTGTAATGCAGCTGCTGGAGGCCGGAATGCCATGGGGCGGGGTAATGGCCAGGATGGCTGCGTGAGACTGAGTGCATCAACCAACAGATGCCTCATACAGAGTCCCGTGAGGTGCAGAGCAGACGTTATTAGGGCTTTATTACTTGTAATATCAATAAACCTGCAGAATTTGTTCTAAACTAGTTGATTGATAATGTCTATGTAATGTTAAAGAAGGATGAGAATTATCCACCACAAGTTCCAGGAGTCAGTTCTGTTGTCCAACCAACAGTCCAGTGCCTTGGAATGATGAATTGATCGCTAAATCTAGGCAGATCGATGAACAAATCGATTTATTAACTAATTAACTAACTCAGACACTTCTGATTTAAAATGAAACAAACCTCCATCTTTGCAAAAATATAAAGCTCTTATGTGACAGCATTTTTTTATTGTATAAGCTAAATGATGTTGAATAACATGATTAAAACACAATTTACTTGTAATTCTGACTTGTCACTTCCTAAAAATCATGTCTTCACATCATTTCCAGCTTATTATAGCTGTGATGCATAACATATTGGAAATGTTCAGATGTGCGGTGTCTCTTTTAATTAACTTTCCACTTTTTTGCCAGTCAGTAGGTGTGAGGATAAAAATAGCTACACCTCTAACTGAGCTAACAGATGAACAGTCAGAGTTGGAGGAAATTGGTTGCCAAACATTGCCTCTGAAGTTAGAAGCAGCCAACCTTGATCAAGGGTAAATGCTTTTTTTCTTTCTTCTTTTATTTGTGGGAGGCAACAAAAGCAGGGGAGCACTTCTCAAGCAGTTGTGCTCAGCAGAGACTGTCAGTCAGTCCGTCCATCCATTAGTCAGTAAGTCCGTTGGTTTGTTGGTCCGTCAAGCACTTTTGCTTTCCTACCAAAATCCTTCCTGTAAGCGTGTGATGCAACAGCATAGTGAAATTCTATTTGGAGATGTCTGCTTCTCCGCTGGGTTGCATGTTAGCAGTAATTGTTCTGTCAATCAGCACAGCTCCAGCCTGCCTGCTTCCCTTGCCACTTGTTAAGCCCTGGCAGAGGTCTAGGGGTGAGGAGAGGTGAGGCAGGGAGAGGGGAAGAGAAAGGATACCTCCACTGCTCTGTGTGTCTCTCATCGCTCACCTTTGTCTGTCTTTACATTCTTTTCCGACAACCACGCTTCCTTCCTGTTCGTCCTTTTGAGTTCTCTCTCTCAGCTCTCTTATAGATCTTATTTTCCCTGTTTTTTTTAAACAAGTTCAATTGTTTAAGTTCTGCTTGCCTTACTTATTTCACTTTTTCTCTTCTGGTGACCAGTTTTCACCTCTTTGTCCACATATTTAGTGTTATGCTTTATTGGATGAATTCTCACACCCTCAGCTCCATTATTAACCCCCAATAATTTATCTTTCGGCCACAAAAACTAGCTTAGTAAACTACTGACATATTAAAAATTTGACATTGCAAACTTGGTAGCAGATGGTTGTACTCATATCTTTCCTTTTTATTTTATCCCTTCAGCTCCAAAATACTCAATAGCAGCTAGTTGCTAACTTTGTCTGCTGTTTAGAGAAAATATACTGTATACAGACTGTATTTAAAGATGGAAATAAAGCTAAAATATCCCCGATATGAATGCTGCCATTGCTTACAAGACATCCAAAACAATGAGCTGAAATACACAATACAACACCAAAGAGTATCCATGTGATACATATATATATATATATATATATATATATATATTGATTATGGCCACATTGCATTTGATGGTAAACTGTGAACAACAGAAATCCCAAGTGTCAGGGTGTCATCTCACTGATGCAAATCTTTTTATAATCACTAAACGTTAAAATGAGTCTCATTCTGAGTGGATATTTAAACAAAGACACAAATGAAGTAAGGTAGAAAAGAAGCGATGGAGACCAGCTTCTAGTTTGTACCCATAAGTCCCACAGTTTGAGTTCTATAAAGAAACCTCCTATGTCTAGAAACACCAGTTTTACTGCCACGCTGCCATGCTGTCCATCTGAATCCAAACACAGTGTGACAGTAGTGAGAGGGACGGTCTCTCTCTTGAGGACAGAGTGTCAGGGACAGACAGACTGTAAAGGTTGTGTCAACCACAGCAGTGCCCGTGCTGACTCCTCCCCGCATTCAGTGAGTCGGTGTTCTCCTCTCCCCGCTCCCTCCCTGCTGCTGAGCCACTTGCACAATTAACCATGTGGAGCGCCTTTTAATAATAGACCTTTTAATTGTCGACAAATGAAGAGTGATGTAAAATAGCTAATAGCTTGTGCTAATTAATAGGAGAA